CATTTATACTATGCAAACAAAAAAGACAAAAAAAACTAAATCAACATTTTCAGACATGCCAACCAATACAAAAAAAGATTTAATAAGTAAAATATATTTAATTTAATTACTATTTTTGTTGCTTCCAAACTCCTTCATTATAGATAATTAGCAAAATTGACCAGAAAGTTTATTATAAAATTAACTGTTATCATTCACCCTGATAACACGAGCTGTGGTTTTGTTTCTTATGGATACCCAGTAGTTTATTACATCAGATTTACACACAAAGTAACCAAAAACTTTCCCTGTTTTTTATTCAGTGGTAAAGCAAAAAGCAGTGTGAAAGTCCACACTGTTTCTGAACTAATCCAGTCCCAACAGATGGATACGCAGCTTGATTTGCACAATGAATATAACATGAGCTTTAACACTTATTTTTTATCTGTTTAGCATTTACTCACTTGAATGTAAGTAACATGAGTTCCTTTAGTAAGAACACCACATGAAAATTTATGTAACATCATCTCCCGTACCATGACGTAAACAAGGACGTCAGCGTGTTTTAACAAGCACCACTGCGGCTCGTGGTTATAGGAAAGTAGGAAACACTCCTCAACGATCAAATGCTTCTCTCAGCCTTATTTCACCTCAAGAAGATCATTTAGTTCAGGGTGATTTTAATGCATAGCAGCTGGATATTTAAATTACCAGCTGGTTTATTAGGCACATAAAACTGAGGAGTCTAAACATGTGGAAACCGTTGACACTTTTCTTTATGCTGATAATGTGCTAATGCTGGAGATGTTTCTTTATATGTAGATAAATAATAAATCTGGTGGTCAGTGGACACAGTTATGCAAGCATAAGGGTAAAGCATAAGGATAAAAGCATAGGATAAAGCACAAGGATAAAAAAATCCAGTTTTACTAACAAAATCCTTAGTTTTTCCTCACCAAAGAGGTTTTATTTCAGTTTTTCTGTAAAGTTATTTATTAATCCTACATTACTTTTATTTTAGCTGATTCCCAATTGTGTCCTTTATTTCCAAATTAAACACTTTTTACATTTTACCTTTTTGTAAATCTAATTTTTTAATGCTAATCTGGAAGCATCATGTCTGTGACGCCCAAAATATTTCATACAGTGTAAGAGCGCCATCTAGTGGCAGGAAGAAATCTTTTCAAAAATCAGTTTTTATGTTTTGAAGTTTTTCTGCTCCATCAGGATCTCAAGTGTCACACACAGTGTGGGTGGAAACAAGAAATGTAAAAGCTCAGCTTTTTCAAATAATAAATTCCAAAATCAGTAAAATAAAGTCAGTCATCCTTGTAATTTGGATCACTTGTCCATGTGTATTATGTGTAAACTATAACTGTAAAGCATCTGTAAATTGTTAATACTAGAGAGACGCGAACAGTCGGAAACAAATTCCTCGTGTGTGTCAACATACTTGGCCAAAAAACCTGATTCTGGTCCTAAAGTCAGAATTTTGCAGAACCCTGTTTTCAAATTAAGCTGAAAGTCGTTGTAATTACAGGTTTGCTCCACAAGATGGCCTCGTGTGCACGCTGCAAAACCTTCACTGGTGAATAATGTGAACAATTAAAGTTGTTCTTTTTCCAAATCAAACCTATAGTGATAATAGCAGTGCAGAAGCTCTGCAGCTAACAGATCTAAACATACAAAGATGCAGCCTTCAACAATATTTTATAAAAACATATCATCATTATCATTGTTATATCTTTATTCTATAATAATAAAAAACAACAACACATACAAAAGATAATAATAGGTTCTAAAAAAACTCCTCATCACATATTGTTCAGTGAGTCACAAAAAAATGATGACGCCAGTGGTTCCACAAGTGTGATCTAAATCTTAATGTACCCATTTAAGGGTTTACTAAAATTGCAATTATTTTATTGCATGAGACAGACAATCTACACATGCATTTATACATAAGATTCCTGAGCACAGCTGGACATATGGGTGCAGCATCGTTACCACAGATGGGCAGTGCATAGTGGAGTACAAAAGGCTTTAACAGGAGCTCTTTACCAAATTTTCTGATCAACATATTAGCTTGCATACATCATACAATGCTGCCTAAAGACAATGGATGCAAGTGACCAAAAACCAGTTTTGTCCCATCAAGCTATAACACCTTGGAAAATATGTAAATACAGTTTGGTGAATTCCATTCTGACTTTTTGTTTTTATTCCCACAGTAGAGCTCTCCTGGGTTTTCTTCCATAAAGCCTAATATGATTAAAAAAATGTGAGGGAGTGTGATCAGAAGGAGACAAACCTCGACCTTAGTGTTCAGCATGAATGGTTTCTTGGCTTAAATCTATTATCCACAGTATCTGATCAACCAGGGGTTGCATTTCTTCTTGCATCCACATCCTGGGAGGTTGGAGTCCCTTGAACCTTATTGAGAACTGTGGTTACATAAGAACACAAAGCTTCTTTGAGGTGGTCTTGTAGTCTTTACCTTTACCATGAATATCTATAATCTTCATTTTGATAAGTTCTAGTCTTTGTTTTATCTGCTCCATGTTCAGAGTGCTGCACACAAAGACACCAAATTACCCAGCGGCTTGTCTGTTCCCTTTAAATAGGCTGAATAGCTGATGAACAGCTTGATGGTACCTACCAATTACAATCCACTTAGTTTCAAAGGTGACTATAAAACAAAGACTAACAGTCTCTTTAAGGGTACCAACAAATCAGCTCATTTTATTTTAGCACAAAATTGTTTTAAAAAAAATCACTCGAGGAAAGTTATAGGTGTCAAACTGCTGCGTCAGATGCCTGTGAGGTTCACAGTGTTGTTAGAGAGTAAGTCAATTAGTGATAAGAGCCTAGGTGAGGAGGATGTAAGCAGGTAATGCACCTGTGAGCCTTTGGATAATTAACAGATCCTAAATCTCCTGAGACTGATCCTGGAGAGCTCCTTAAACACACAACTGCTTCAAATGAGCACGCCCTGTGTGTTGTTGGTTTAGGTGCACGGGGTGACAAGAGGACATGGAGGAAATTAATTACCAAAAATATTTCCAAAGTCTTTCCCCCAAAGGGACAAGTAAAGGAGTGAGGGTAAAATACATGCTGCTGTGTGCACACAGGGGATAACAGCAACCAGTCGACAGGCACAAGATTTGAAAGATAATCTGGTAGAGTTTGCTTTTAACTAAAATGATTTTTAAAAGTTATTTAAATTAAGCCTAACACTATAGAAAATGAAAGTTAACAAAAAATAAATAGATGTTCTTTAATGTCATTTCCTTTTGTTTGTGTGCTTGAAAATCAGATCTACAGAATAAACTAGTTATGGGGAATTCAGGAGCAAATCAGATTGCTTTCATCCACCGTCCATTATCTTTTACCTGCTTCTTCCTGTGGTACACAAATCCAGCTGACGGGCAGGGGACACCCTTGACAGATTGCAAGTCCATCACAGAGACAAATAACCATTCACTCTCTCACTCATTCACAGGGATAATAAGTTGACAATTAGCCAAACATGCATGTTTTTAGACTGTGGGAGGAAACCGGAGTACCCTGAGAAAACCCACTTATGCATGGAAAGAACATGAAGACTCTATTCAGAAAGACCCCCGGCTGAGATTGGAACCGGCAACCTTCTTGCAGAGAGGGTTATAGGGTTGTTTTCACGATTAAAAAAATAAAAACATTAAACAGAATTTTTGAATTCACTGTGTACAAGAAGAGCAAACATTCCCCTTGAGCAGAACAGGTAACATACTGACTGTTATTGTTTGATTCCGCTCATAAAACAGCTCGTTTTTAGGACCGCAAAATTATCTCATAAAAAGGTGTTTATGTAGTGTTTTAGTTGCCCTGCAAAGGTGCAGGGCCTCTTTGTTGAGGGGTAGGGAACCACATTCAGGCTGGTGGAAATGGGGAGGGGATTATGCTTTCCCTGGCAGTGGTTCTGGCTGTTGCCATGGCATTGTTCCCCACAGCACATGGGAATGGCATGAAAAACCTCAATAGTCATATTGTGGATGGCAAGTGCAATTTTGGTGACATATATTTTTTGTAACTATTAGACATGCAAAGTACAGAAAATAAAAGTAAGCAACCTAGCGTCCAAAAAGCAATACAGCGGTCAGTTAAAAAAAATCATGCATTTTGAGTCATCACACGCCTGCATGTGGATGGAGCACATTATCACTGCTCAATAGAAATGCAACATTTTTGAAGTACTTTTGCAGGCTGTATTTCATGCTAACGTTGAGTCTCAGCTCCCAAGTAGTATGACTCATGAGAGAAAGGTAATCACAGGCAATGATGTGGACCGCTGCAGGGCAAGCCCCGTTGTGGAGGAATACCCTTGAGAAAGTCCACGCCGTCTGCAAATGACTGCTCATATAGGTCTAGGGATCGCCCTGGCTTCCCGGCAAATCACGTGCGTCCTTTCAAACCGGTCAAGTCACCTCGTCCAATCAGCGTTCAGTTTACAAGCGCTGCCTCCACGCTATTGGTCGATTTCAGACAAGGGCGGTTTTTTTTTTCTGTCGCTCGCTCCAACAGCACCATCTCTGGCAGGTGGTGAGCGCTTAAAATAGGCATACAGCGGGCTAATGTTTTAGGACGACAGGAAGGTAGCTGTTGTGAATTAAATACGATTTTGGTTGTTTTCATTCGTCGGGTTGGTAGTTTAGCCAGCGCCGCCATTTAGGTCCATGTAAAACCCACAGGAGCCTCGGTGAATGAGACGAACGTCGGGGTTCTCCCCCCCTCTTCTCTCTCTCTCTGTCTGAGCTTTGGTGCCTTTTTTTTAACGACCAGCGATAAAAATTGGACAACTGCTCCTTCATCATGCAGCTTCAGATAAAAGACGGAAAAGCCCCTGCATGCTGACTATATTTCGTCACCGGTTGAGTTGTGAACAAGAGGGGCAGAAAAAAAAAAAAAAACGACCACGGCTGCAGTGTCAGGAGGGTCTCACATCCTGGAGCTGCCTCACTTGTTCATCCGCCGGTGTTGTTTTTTTTTATTTTTTTTGTGTCGCACAGTAAATGATATGTGGATGATATTTTTCGGGAGCTTCTGTTTTCACCTCGGGAAACCCGCGAAGCCGAACACGACGACGACACCCGAACAACGACGACGACGAGCGGACGTTCTCCCCCTCCTCCTGCTTTGAAAAATGAGGAAGCGATTTCACAAAGACCCAGAAAATGGCAAGAAGAAGGTCTCGTCGTCCGTCGTGGGCCTGGATTTGAGCAAGATGAGAAAGAAAAGGGCAAATGCAACAGCGGCATGAATCGCCCCCCCACCTCCCCCACTCTCTCAGCATAATGACAGCGAAAGGAGGTAAAACTGTGGAGGCAGAGGAGACGCAGCATCGATGAAGGCGATCTGGACAAGTTTTGTGTCGCTCATAATGAACAGAAACACTTTACAGCTTCGTATCAGATCGTTTACACCACACTGAAAGCTACTTTCGCCTCTTTTTAAAAAGATTTTCTAAATCACCAGTCATCTATTTTTGCATCTTTTTTTTGTATATATTTATATATATATTTTTGATCCGGATCCAGCCCTGACTATTCAATGGAAGTATGTTATCAGCTGCCGGTTTTGCCTCTAGACAGGCCGGTTCCCAAGCATGTCCTCAGCCGGAGAGGGGCCATTAGTTTCAGCTCCAGCTCTTCTTTATTCGGGGCTCCCGATCCAAGACAGCTGTCACAGGTAAAATACTAATTATTATTATTATAATTAAATCGGTCTAAATTTCATTTGTTTATTTAGTCACAGAGGGGCTTAAAAGGGATTCCACACAGACATCTCTACAACAAATGCACGAATTACCCACAGGAATCTTGCAGGTGGTTGCTGGGTGTCTGCATTTCTGTCCTTGTGAGAACATTGCATTGACTTTCATTCATTTCTGTAACTGAAACCAGAACCTAAACATTACCAGTCTATGCCTAATCTTAAACCCAATTCACACTATAATCCCAGATCTTGGTCTTCGAGGGCCGCTGTACTGCAATCTTTATTTGTTTCCCTGCTCCAACACACCTGATTCACTGATTGGATTACCTCGTTGACCTCTGCAGATGCCTGGTAGTCACCCATTCATTCAAATCATGAGTGCTGGAGCAGAGAAATTTCTAAATTATGCAGGACAGTGGTCCTCAAAGTTTAGGATTGGACACCCCTGCTAAACTTAACCCCAAAATGGCATTCACTTAGGACAGGGCTTTAGTCCTTATAAGGACTGCTGTTCTTTACAAGGAGGGCGATAATACCTGAAAAGGTTCTAAAAAAAGTTAACTCAGGTATATTTAAACACACTTTTCTGACTGCACACGCACGTTTGTAGTCTTAATCCTATTTGAACATTGCATTGACTTCCAATAATTTCCTTAGCTTAACAATGATCCTCACCTGGGGGTTTATGACTGCCATAATAATTTGATCCAGTGACTATCCCCCCCCAACAAAACAACATCATTTGCACCAACACAGTAGAAATTAACTGTTTAAGTACACAGCTGCAACTCTTGTTGACTTTAGGCAACTTTGACCTGATTTCAAAACTTACAATGTCATATATGCATGTTTAAGCATAACTTCTGCAAACAGCATGCAGGGTTTTAAGAGGCCCCAGCCCCATGGTAGGACTAAAGTTACGCCCTTGTCTAAACCTAACACCTAACCTAGAAATGGACTCTTGTGCTCATAATGACCATTTTATCTGACTAGGTAGGTGATTGTATCATAAATGTTTCTAGAAAGGTAACAAAACCAGGCACACACACACACACACATACACACACATATATGCAGACAGAGAGCATTCAATTGCCCAGTAGCGCTCAACACATTCTTATCTGCAGGACCTAAAACACACACACCAAGCTCTCTCCCAAATTTATGCATGTTGACCTCAGATAAAGGCCTTCTTAAGCCAGCACTAACGTGATGCTGAAGTTTACCACAGGGATTTATCAGCAGGAAATTCTGGTATTTACGTTATCATCCACTCACATATGGACATAAATTATTAAACCATACTTCCTGCTTGCCTGCCTTCTGAAGTGTATTGAAAATATCCCTCTGGTGAGCATATCTCTATTTATTTCACCTGCTGTGTGGTGAAAGAGGGGAAAAAAAGGTGGGCAGCAACAGTCTTCAGGTTGTGAGGTCATATTTCTGCTTTACTTTTATGTATGCATTGAAACTAACATGGAAGTATGGTGCGTCTCTGTTCCATTAGCCCGTACTGAGTCATAATCGAACATTTGTCTTTGATTTATTAGTCTTTTGTTCAGTAAAACCAAGTGTAAGATGTGTAGCTGCTCTATATGTTCAGCTAAAAATGTAAAAAGTCATTGGGTGTTTATTGTACGTTCTTTTACCCTTTTAACAAACCAAGCAAAAACAAAAGTTTATCTTCATGTCCGCATCCCTGTGTGTCACCAATCAAATAAAACCAGTGCATAAAATTAACCAAATTAGCTTTTATCTTACTGGGGCTTCGGAGTGTCAACTGATGTCATGATATGTTGTTAAAGTTGGCTTTACTGCACTTTTCTGACTATCCATCATACAAACAACCATTCCCCTACGGCTCCGCTACAATCCTCTGCCTCAAGTAGAAAAACTTGAAGTCCTTAAACTGTTCTTTTCCCACTGTGGCATTTGAAATTTTGCTTCTCAAACTGAAGCGCTCGAGTTCCCCTCAAAAGCTCTCAAAATGTCAGAAGAACGTCCATCTCAGCGTGATGTTTTACTGCTCGTCAAAGTTGTTGTTTCTTGTTGGAGTTCACTAGTTGATTTCTCACGTGGCCTTTTGTACTTGTTCAGTGGGTCAGAATGAGTTGTCCTGTTCTGTGCCCTTTTTGTCATTAAAAACGGGTTTGTGTGCAGCAAACAGTTCATTCTGTTGGGCTCAGCAAATATCTAGTGAAACAATAATAGGATGCTGGACAGTTTGTAGAGATTTTACAAAAGTACAAGTTGGCTCTCTGTTTAAATTCTTTGCAGTTCACTAACATGGAGACTTGCTAAAAGAATCAGTTGTCTTTTCCCTTTTATTAATGTTTTGGTAATATCGGTTAAAGATGCATGCATCTACCAGTGTTTTGCTCAGCAATTACACTTCTACAAATATTGTGTTTCGGCCTTATTTACAACCATAAGGGTGCGTTTGTCCTCAGTGGCTGCTGTGTTGTTGTGTGTGGTTCCACAGGCCTGTTGTTTGTGGAAGCAGGGCTGGACTAGCGTCACAGAAAGAGGCAGTTAGGCATGTGCCTGGGCTCTGTGGGCAGTGGTTTGGCAAATTTCCATATTCACAGATGGCCAAAGTCTCAGTCTCTCTTTTTTTCTTTCTCTGCCTATCTTGTTCTACTCACTCAACAAGCTCTTTCTCTGTCTTTCTCTTTGTGCCCTCCCCCCAATTCCCTCACAAATGAAGACATTTCCTCTTGTGAGCAGAAGACACAAAAGTAAAGACAAAGACCGTTAAAAATGTCAAACTGTTGTTGTGATTAGGTTTGTATTACTTGAAAGAATTTCTGTCACCTTTTTAATGGCAAAGTTTTAGATTGAGATCATTTTATGATGAGAAATGACAGTCTTAGTCCTTTTGTTATTAAAGTAGTCATTAAAATTGGTGAAGTGATTCATGTTCTTTGTTAACAAACATGGTTGAATCTGACAGTTCATGCCAAAGTTTTAGGCAAAACTACTGTGCAAACTGTAGCGCTTGGTTTGCGACTGTATCTTACTTGCAACAAGTTACACCCCAGCACAGAGTTATGTAATTAAATTAAAAAACAAACATAATGGCAATATTTGGCATTTTCTGTAGGAAGTATGTAAATGACAACTAACATTACTGCTACTTGAATGCAAATATTCATAATTACACTTGATGTTACCATTTTCAGTGGAAATTAGGCCATAATGAGATATCGTTTGTCAGTGTGCATGGTGTTTTGTGTTTAGCAAATACCTTGTTTTACTGCATCACGAAGAATAGTAGATTTGTTGTGTCTTTTGTTTTCGAACTAATGCTAAGTAGCTATCGGTGAACGGAGGGTCTTCAGTGATTAACCGGGATGATGGAAATTTTAAAGTATGACGACATAGAGCAGACAGAAGGAACATAAAATGGTGATTAAAAAGGCCTAAACATACAGGATTTGTCACAATCTGTCAGTAATGATGCAGCAGGATCATTGTTGTTCTCAGTGATACCTACCAGTAATTTAAGTGACATAGAGACAGACTCAGGCGTTAGCGCCTCTGCTATTGGGAGGATACCAGCTTTGCCACAGTCCAAAAATAAGAAACCAAGCTTGGCAGAACCAATTTTACCTGTCCCTTCCATGGAGCAAAAGGGATGGTAGCAGCCAACTGTCACTGTTGGTGCTGTAAAGGATTAATACAGAACCAGTCTATTTAMCACAGAGAACGATGAGTCTGTTTGTGTGTTTTGGGCTGATTAGGGACTAAAGATATGGCTAGAATAAATATGTCTATTCAAAGCTTTGGTATGTACACGTGCAAGAATGAAAATGTTTTGTTTCAAGATTCCAATTTAAAGTAAAGCCTGACAGGGTGACCACATTCAAAAACAACTTCCTCTGTTTTGTCCATGAAATACTTGATCTCTGTTCTGCTACGTCACACTTACGGTTATTTGCCAGTGGTGCTTTGAAACTTGTTTGATGACTGGAAGCTTGGCACAAATTGCATTATAGGGCACAGCAACAAAAAATTAGTTAAGGCAGTACAAAGGAAAAATAGACCTGATGAAACGGCTTAAATAAAAGTGGGGCAAGTTCTGTGGAAAGTCCTGGTTCAGGTTTTGGGAAACTGTTTGTTCAAGGCTTTAGTGATATTTTTTGACCAGACTGATTCAGACTGTTATCTCAGTTTTCTAGAGTTCGTAAGTGAGCTGTTTTAGTGTATCATTAAAGTGTAAAAATGCAAAAGCGAACCATTTCTCAAACTTTCACAAAAAAAAAAAAAAAAAAAAAAAACACTTTAAGAATCTATTCAGTTGATGTGTGGGTGATGTCTGTCAGTCACTGTCAAGTTGATTTTACCTACCTACCCGCC